TATCCCGCTCTTTTGCTGGCCCCGGCCGCCCGCGGAATCCTCTGCTCTTTAGGGGCAGGGTCCGTGGGGGGGGGCGGGGTCGCGAGTTTTGGGGCCTCTCCCTCCGATGTCGGGGGGGGAAGCTCCTGACCTTTCTCTGGGAGTGGAGTGGGAGGGGTATTGGAGGCTTTACGTCTCCTTCTCCCACTCCGGCCCCCTTTGCCCCGCTTCCCCATTTGGCAAGCGGGGCCTCCTACTCTGTGGCCACAGGGCCGCCCGGCGTCACGGCACACCGGACATGTCGCCGGTGCGTCGCACGCCGCGGCCCTGTGGCCGGCCGAACCGCAGTGATAGCAGAGGCCACTGCGGTCGACCTTGCTCTTACAGGAGGCCCTGACGTGGCCCCACTCCAAGCATTTATAACATTGGAGGGGGCGGCTGCTCAGGGCCTCCACGCGGACGTTGGATCACCCGACGCGTATGCGTCCCCTGTCCGTGACCTTTTTGGCGACTGCTAGGGGACACCTCAACCAGAGGGTCCCCATGCGGTCGGGTCCAAGGCGGATCTGCCCGGCCTTCAAATCCCCGGGCCCGCAGCCCCCGGCGACCGCCACCGCAGAGATTACGTCCTCCACGGTGGCCGCATCGTCCAGGTCGCGGACCCGGATGTCGACCCTCTTCGTCGGACGCGCTATACGAACGTCCTCTTTGTCGGCGAAGAGGGCCGCCATTTTGTTAGCCAGGGCGTCCGCCCTGGCGTGTCCTTCAGGACTGGGGATCTCCAGGACCAGGGCGCCGGTGACTGCCCTCCTGGTCCTGAGGTCCCCGATCCCCAGCTCTCCTAAGTCGATCTGGCTCCTCGCCCGCCACATCACATCGGCGTAGCTGCCAGCGGGGCAGCTCACCGTGATCGCGGCGGCGCGAGGAGCCTTGGGGAGGACGGGTTTCTTCCCGCCCCCCGTGGCGTTGGGGATCTTCTTCCCTTCCCCGCGGCACCTTGTTTGGGCGGCGGTTTCTGGGAGGCGGGTTGGGAGGTCTTCTTGGTCCTCCCTCCTCCCTGCTTTTCTCTCCTCCCCGCGACCCAGGCTCAGGACTCGGACCCGGTCTCGGAGGGAGAAGAGCTGTCACGGGCCCCCGAGGACGGCGAGGTCGCGGTCCTCTTCTGAGGGGCGGGGGCCCTTTCCTCCGCAAGGGCAGCGGGGGCCGGCCGTATCCTCCTGAGGCCGCCGCTCGTCCCCGCTGCTCTTCTTCTTTTTCTTTTTTTTTCTTCTTTTTCCCCGGCTTTTTCCCCCCCTCATCATTGGGGGTGGAGGTTGCCGGGGAACGGGGCGGGTTCGGAGGGGTCGGGGAGGCATTATGCGCCCCGGCCCCCGTAGTCGCCCCTCTCCTCCCTATTTGGGAGGCCTTCTGGGTCCCTGCGGTTCGTCCCCCGGATAACTCGGGGAGTCCAGCCCGCAGGGCCTCAACTATGTGAGGAACTAGAGCCGTCACCAAGGCCTCTAGTTCCCCATTAGTCGTCCCGTAGACTCGCCCTTTGTCCGGGCAAGTCCTCCGCTCACCTTTCGGCTGCATTTGCTGGGGCGTCCCCCCGCCAGCCGTCGCCGCCGCCACGGTGCCCTTCTTCCGGCCGTTGAGTGCCGGATTGCTGCCCCCGCCGCGCGCCTTCAAGGAGGGGACATTTCCCGTGGGGAGTGTTCCCTCCGCCACTTCTCGCGCCACCTCTTCCCGGCATCGTTTCCCGACTTCCGCCTCCTCGGAAGTCGGGAGTAGGGCCCTGATGGACCCGGCGTCTCCCTCCACTATCATTTCCTCCTCGCTTGAGGAGGATGAGATCGGCCGGGGTGCCCTCTTCTTGCCTCCGACGGGAGAGGACGAGGAGTCCTCGTCTTGAGGTCCTGCCCTCTTCCTTTTCCGGTCCGCGGAGGAGTCCCTGCTGTTATGACCCCCCCGCGGCCAAGTCCCGTGGTTGTAGCCGTCCTCCCCGTCCACCTCCATGGGGGACGAGGTCACTCCAGGATGGTTGCTGGAGGGGCCGGATCTGCGGGCCTCCTCCAGCTGCGTCTCGAGGTTGGCGACGCGTATGCGGAGCAGCTCGCCCTCCGCTTCTAGACGCGCTCGCTCCCTCGCGTCCACCGTCGCCTCTCGCCTTTCAGCCTCGCCCGTGCCGGACCCGTCGGTGTTATTGGCCCTTTGCACTAGGCCGAGGCTCGCCGCGGCCATCCTGGCCGCCGCACTCCACAGGGCCCCACGATAGGCCCCCTTGAGGTTGCGGGACCTCTTCGCGACCTTTTTCACCTCGTCCACGGCTCTGAGCGCCATGGACGAGACTTCGGGCGTGGATTGCGCCCGGAGGCCGCGGAGGATCCCGATTTCCTCTTTTGCCGCCTGGGCGGCTCTCGGCGTCGATGGCTTGATGGAGGGATTGTTGATCTCCTGCATCAGAGCCTCTTCGCCCTCCTCCTCCCCAAGCCTGTCGCTCTGTGCTACTAGAGCGCTGACCACACTCTTGGAGCCAGCGCCCGTTCGTCCGTTCGCGACTCTGGCCGATCGGCGTGGTGCAGACGGGGATAGCGACCTGCTCCGGCCGTCTCCAGCATCCCCGTTGCCCCTTCCCACCGCCGATGTCGAGGCTACGGCCTCATCCTTCGGCGCCCCTGCCGCCCGGGAGGGAAGGAGAGTTCTCCCCCCTCTCGGGCGACGCACGCCCCCGAGAGGCGGACCTTGTACGCCGCCTCTCCACGCTGTATGGGCGAGCGAATAAGGGCGAAGCTGCCCGGCTGGGCATCCCACCCCCCCCCCCCCCCCCCCCCCC